AGAGCAGGGAGGCAGAGACTGGTCGGGGCGGGCTGCTCCGGCTGTCCCTTGGCTTCTGCAGGCTGGTTTTCTTCACAGTTCTAAGGGCCCGGGCCTGGAGGGAGAGCTAATTAGACGGATTTTGGCAGCCTGCGCCTGCCTCCTGCTGGCCCCTTGCCTTGGCCCTTTGGTTCTAATCAAGAGAGAAGCGGGAACGGTGTATGTTCCCGGATCTCTGGTCAACTCAGAGCAGAGCTGCGAGCCATCCCCGGATGGCCGAGGGACATGGTAGAGCGCAGATGTGACACGTCCCCGCTTTCCTCTCCTCGGGAACCCTCTCCACGCGGGAGAGGCAGCCTGGAAACGGCGGAGAGAGGAGCCGTGGCATCAGCTCACGACCCCCACGTGTAGGAACCGTCTGCCTTGGAGCCAGTTCCTTGGCCCCTTTGAAGCTCCTTCATGCGTGAAGTGGGAGCCACGAAGTTAACCTTCCTCGGGGTTGTTGATAATGCAAATGCGGGTCACAGTATCTTGCATGGCCATGCCTGTCACCTTGTTAGTTCTGAAGAAGTGTGAGTTTCCTAACCCCCCTTCCCTGCATAGATCTCAGGACATCTGTAGTTGTGGGAGTATTTTTTTAAAAAGAGAGAGGGGGGTGTGTGGGTCCTTGACAGGCATTTATGTGCAAAGCAACACTCCCCGAAGACATCAAATACGGATCCTTACATCCCGCGCACAGTCTCAGAGTGGGAAAAGAAGACGTTTGAGTAACAACAGTAGCGTAAGGGTGGAAAGTGGAAAGGGGTAGAAAAGAAACTTGAAAATTATGTAAGGAAGTGGAAAACAAGAGACTGTTTGGTAAAATTCAGTGTATGCAGATTACTTAACAGAAATATTACCAAAGTTCCCTGAGTAAAAAATATATAATTCTATCCCCATGATAAGCCTTGAGAAGAAGAAAGAGCCAAACAACAGAGCCTGTTTTCTAATTTTGTCATTGGACCCGAACCAGAGGTCCCCGGGCTCCTGGCTCACGGAAGGTTTTCTCAGCTGTCACTGACAGAGTTGCTTTCAAACAGCGCCAGTCTCCAAGGAGCCTATTGTAGTTTACAGACATTATCTCATGTATCCTTACTTTATCCCGTTGAGATATTACCAGGCAGGTAGTCCCTAAGTTATAGACAAAGGGACAAGCAAGCAGGCCAGAGCAGCAGGGACGTCGGGGGTGTTATCTTGCGCTGCGCAGCCTTGTGTCGCGTTCGTCGGGCCGGCCTGTCTCCGTGACCTGCCCTCACTTAGCAGTTGCAGTTCTGGGTAAGAAGAACCCCATCCAGAGAGCAATGTCATGCAGCTTGGAAAGTGAAACTGGCAAGCATCATCTTTTTGGAGAACAAGAAGTCCCAGAACATCTGACCTGAAAAAAACCACACCAAGAAACCACTGCGTGTCATTGTCTCTTGGCAGGAATTTTCTGCTGATAGGAAAAAAGAATCACAATGCTGACCTGGTGTTTATTGTGCAGATATCATCTTCAGCTTTTTTACTTTGAGCTTTTTTTTTACACACACCTAGGGGTATGTAACGGGAGGTCGCTTTTTAAGAATTTACCGGAATGAAGACGTCAGAAGCCCATGTGGGTGTCTGTCACGTCTTTCACTTTTCAGCTTATGTCCCAAAGTATCTGCTTATATTTGAAGTGCTGATTATATACATTTTATATTGGGACACGTAGACATTAAATGCACTCACTTGAATTCAAAATCCAACTCCAGAAAAACCCTTATTTCCAATGGGGCCAGTACCCTAGGTGTTACCACGCATTTTCAACTGTCGAACTGTCCCCTACATCCTGCTTCCGTCCCCGTTTTGTTTGACCATTCGTAAAAATGCCTCAAGTTATTGGAATGGTTGCCTCTCCCACAGTCCCACCGTTTTTAAGGGTTTTTTTTCTCCACACATGGAAGAAAACAGTGATTAATAACTTTAGTTAGCTGCAAACATGAAAAGAAAATGCGACCGTCTGATCATATCACCAAGATTTCTGGAAAATACTGGGAGTATGTGATGAGTGCATTCTCTCCTAATGTCTTTTGCTCCCTGCTTCCATGGAATTCCTGTCATATGAGAGGTTTTAAATTATTCAAACCCAGGATGCTCTTGGGCCATGAAATGAAAGTGAGGACTTCCCCAGAGCATCACATAGTCTGCAGAGCCGGCCTGTGGCCAGGTGGGTACTCGGGGTGGGGCAAAAGGAGGTTTACGTTGTGAGTATGCGAAACAGTTTATTCTTATATTCTTATTTATTAATTATGGTATCATTTTCCATATGAACAACTGTAGACCTGCTGTTGCCCCACTCTGTGTGGCTTCCTCCCTCTCATCCGCATTTCTCGTGTGTGTGTATTTTCTGGCAAGCTGCACTATTTATTACTTGAAAGGTTTCATGTCCAAAAAGTGGCCCCGGAGAAGTTGCCAGCTCCCAGGACAGGGAGTTCTGGCCCTGCCAGTTGGAGAATTGGGTCCAAGGTCTTCTTGGAACATGTGTAGATATCTCAATCACCTGGCCGTGCTGTGTGTTCATAGACTCTGTTTTCCCCACCATATACAACGTGCATTTTCTCCCTTTATCGCAAAAGTAAGTCTTCGCTTTAGTATCCTAATAAAATGTCCGTGACCTAGCTCTTTTGATTTTTCAGATATTGATGAGTGTTTGAGTCCAAGTACTTGTCCGGATGAGCAGTGCGTGAATTCTCCTGGATCTTACCAGTGTGTTCCCTGCACAGAAGGGTTCCGAGGATGGAATGGGCAGTGTCTGGGTAGGTACCAGGGAGTTCTTATCATGGGCTTATTTCTTCTGCCTGGCCTGTTTTCTGACAGTGGTGTAATGCCAAGGGAGCTCCCTCTTTCAAAATGAAAAATAGATATCTGCCTGGCTGGTCATGGCTCAGCAGCGGAGCATCGACCCAGGATCCAGGAGATCGCACTTTGATTCTTGGTCGGGCACATGCCTGGGTTGTGGGCTCGATCCCCAGTGGGGGCGTGCAGGAGGCAGCCGGTCAGTGACTCATCATTGATATTTCTCTCTCTCTCTCTCCCTCTCTGAAATCAATAAAGATATATTTTAAAAATATATATATATATATATGTATATATATATATATAGAATGTAACAACATATTATTTTGAGAAAACTCTTAAGTTCTAAGCAAGTTTTAACCCTGGAGAAAATAAGAAAGTGAGTTGGCATGAAGAATATGAGATTTTACCTGAGACAAGTAAATACATTATTTCCCCTGATGTGATATAAATAACCAAAATGAAATAAAATCATCACCACAGGGAGGAAAACGGTAGAAAACAAAATGCTTAAAAAGTGGGAAAAGGCGTAATAAGCAGCTACCAGCGACCACATAGAATCAGGAAACTTAGAAACACAGACTTGCAGCAGCAGTAGCCGACGCGCAAAGAGGAACCTTGGTTGAGTGCTCACGTTTCTTATGTAACGCATTCATTCATTCGAGTATTTAATAACCACTTAGCACCTACGTTCGGCACCGAGGGGGATAAGTGATACGTTGGCTCCAGTTCCAATTCCCTGTGCCCTCGTTAGCGGTCCCCTTTCATGGCTTTCCTCGGTGTTTCTCCGCCATGTGATCTTTTCCTTGGAAGGTGGACCTTTCGCCTGCCGTGCCAGACTCTGACAGTGCGAGTTGGACTTTTCATTCCTTCCTACCTTATGTCCTTTCTTTCGCAAGTGCTGGAGAACCTACTGTATGTCGCCCAGAGTTGAACCGAGTGCCAGGGTACATGAGAGTCCAAAAAAAAAAAAATGTCTCTCTCACTTGCTGTCTAGTGGGGGAGGTTGGCACTCACCCAGACATGTCATAAATCAATTCAAGTCACGGGTGATGCCGACGCTGGGAAGGGGGCCCCTGTGGCACTGCAAGAGCCTGTGGCGCAATGCGTGGCCTCTAGGAAGATGCTTGAGTTCATTTTTAACTGGGGAAGAGACTGGGAGGGAGAAGACTTTGGACGCAGGGAGCGGCACATGCAGGGGGCTTGCGGAGAGAGGAGGCCATGCTCCAGCAGCTGGAAGAACAGAGGTCAAGGGGAGACTGGCTACAAGATGAGAGAGGGACCACGCCAGACCCTCTCGGTCTGTTGAAAACGGTGGCCCATTCTTACAGCTCTGGGAAGACGGTTAGGTCCTTTAGAAAGGGTGAGAAAAGAAAGCTCGGCCAGAAAACTCCCGATTTCAAGCTTTGGCCTCCCCACCAGGCGGCATGAGCTGTACCTGGTGCAGGTGGCCCCGGGCCCTGAGCCTCAGGCCCTGAGCCTCATGCCCATCCCAGGAGTCTCCATCAGTGGAACTGTGAGGTGTTGATCTTTGGGGAGAGGGAAAGATTTTTTTTCATTAATTGCTTATTTGATAAGAATTCGTTTATGTAGCCTGCTTTGGTCAGAAAGTGCATTTGGTTTTGATTTTCCCTTTGGGTATACATTTTATAGCCGCCTGCGAAGGTTCCATTCGTGTTCTCATTGTCACAGACCTGATGCCTGTTGTAATCCAAGAGCAGAGCCTGAACTTTACCTTCAATAACTAACGGGTGGTGTAAACACAGCCCTGATTCATGCATTTGCTAATGGAATGTGACCGACCAAACTGGCAAGTGATTGCTCTGGAATATAAATGCATTTATCTAAATTGGGCAATAATAATAAATGACTTCTCATACCTGGATGTGTGCAATCAATCTAATTGCAACCACTTTGCCCCAGTTTTAGTGACAGAAACCCAGCACCTCGTTTAAAACTAATTTCACTCTGCCAACCAGATTAGCAGAATCATAAGCAGAAATATTAAGTCACTGTTGTTACTCAACCGAAGTCACACACGTAGCCGCTCGTTCCAAGCAATAGCTTTCGTCTTTGCAGTCCTGTGGTCATGCGTTTTCTATTAAAAGTAGGCAGTGTGCTTTCTGCTTCTGGGCTGGGTAAAATGTTAGGCTCTTTGTCACCTGTAGCTCAAGCTTCTCTGAGACATAATTTTAGTTCCATCCATTGCTTGATTGGACTTGCACTTGTTCGAAATTTCTCATGAGGGCTTTTGCAGATTATACCAAAATGGATTTTCCGTCATAATTTTTTATGGTGGTAGAGCTTTCAAATGTTGAAAAGTCGAGTGTGACAAAAAGCAGATAGATATTGCAACGTAACTTTCTGCTCATATCGAACCTGTGAATGGATTGGATTCTTCTGCTCGACTCTGACGGTGCTCGCGAACACCCAGCCGTGTCTCTTCATTTCTGTTCCTTTACAGAGCTTCGTTCCCACCTTTGGACTTGTGCCTGGTACTCTAACGTACCTTCCAGAAGGCGCAGTCCTTACTTAAGCTTGTCTCTGAGTTTTGAGCTCGTTGGGAGCACAACTTGATATATTTTATTTGCTCACTTAACGATTGAGCGTCTGCGATGAGCCAGGCGTTTTTGTAGGCTGTGGGGATTGAGAGCACAAAATAAATTCCCTGCGCACACTGTCCTCCTGCTCCAGAGCCATCGCGCCCGCGGACGGACGAGCAGGCAGCGGGGTGCCCGCGTGTCAGGTGGGCGCGGGCCCCGGAGCAGGGAGGAGCGGCGTGAAGGGGAGAGGGAGTGCCCGCGTGTCAGGTGGGCGCGGGCCCCGGAGCAGGGAGGAGCGGCGTGAAGGGGAGNCCCGCGTGTCAGGTGGGCGCGGGCCCCGGAGCGGGGAAGAGCGGCGTGAAGGGGAGGGGGGGTGCCCGTGTGTCAGGTGGGCGCGGGCCCGGAGCGGGGAAGAGCGGCGTGAAGGGGAGGGGGGGTGCCCGCGTGTCAGGTGGGCGCGGGCCCCGGAGCGGGGAAGAGCGGCGTGAAGGGGAGGGGGGGTGCCCGTGTGTCAGGTGGGCGCGGGCCCGGAGCGGGGAAGAGCGGCGTGAAGGGGAGGGGGGGTGCCCGCGTGTCAGGTGGGCGCGGGCCCCGGAGCGGGGAAGAGCGGCGTGAAGGGGAGGGGGGGTGCCCGTGTGTCAGGTGGGCGCGGGCCCGGAGCGGGGAAGAGCGGCGTGAAGGGGAGGGGGGGTGCCCGCGTGTCAGGTGGGCGCGGGCCCCGGAGCGGGGAAGAGCGGCGTGAAGGGGAGGGGGGGTGCCCGTGTGTCAGGTGGGCGCGGGCCCGGAGCGGGGAAGAGCGGCGTGAAGGGGAGAGGGAGTGCCCGCGTGTCAGGTGGGCGCGGGCCCCGGAGCGGGGAGGAGCGGTGTGAAGGGGAGAGAGTGCCCGAGCTCCCGTGGCGCTCAGAGATCAGTCGTTTACAAGGTGTCCCCGGCCGACCGTTTGCTTTTGTCTCTTAACAGTTACTCGTGAGTCGTGGCGTTTTATATCTTCTTAATTCAGATAATTTAGGGTACATCAATGAGAACTTTTTTATCCAGTGTTTAATGCGCAAGAACATTGAAGACTTAAAAAAAAAGGTTTCCCGATCTCACTGTTTGAAGAAAAGTCCTGCCCTTGGCACCCGCTGGGGTCATCTCTGGAAGTCCCTGCTGCGGCACAGGCCTGTTCTGGTCCCTTCATCGCGAAGCTCCTCTGCCCTCCTCTCGCTCGCTGCGCATTTTAAAGTCGTGTAATTCAACCTGTACAGGGTTGTGCATAGCAGTACTTCTGTTTGGCATTACACGTGTTTTCTTTTATTTAAACCTGTCCATCTCCATTCCGACTCCGCTCGTTTTTCTGTGAAATGGTCTAATTGGGGATGTAGAACTGCTCTTCGACCCTTGCGTCCTGCAGGGATACCCTCCTGCGCCTCCCCCAGCGAGGCCGTGAGCTTGCTGACGCCGCTGGTGGCCTCTGTGCCTCCGTGCCTGGTACACTGGGTCTTACTGACGGACGCGCTTTGATTTACGAAGTAGAACAGGGGTTGTTGGGGCAGGAACAGGTAAAATGTCAGCAGGAGCTGTCACTGGGAGCACGCTCTTTCCTCCTGTTTAACCCGGGACACACAATCGGCCCTTCATTCTCAATAGTTTATTGTCCGCCTTGAAAATATCTATCCCTCGATATTTTCTGGCAACTCTCGTTGGCTTCTCTGTCAGTGTAGCGTCTTCTTTTAAGTGGTGGGTTTTGCCCTCCCTTGAGAGCCCCTTTCGTCACTCGACACTGTATCCCTTGGACCTCACATTCAGCCTGGAGGTGCTGCCATTCGGCCCCCGCCCCCGATGACGATGGCGATCTCATCACCCCGGCTTCTGTCAGGTGCCAACTGGCTGCTCCAACCAGCACTTTTCCTAAGGGAAGCCAGCCTGACAGGTACTTGGTTTACAGGTGTCTTTTCACTCATAGAGAACTAGCCTGACTCCAGCCCAACTAGAACCATTCCCCAAAGGAAATTCTCTCATATTTAGTTGTTTACAGGTACTTTTTAGTAGACACGAAGATCACATTTCCCTGGGTTTAGACAGATTTGGGACCATGTGACCCCTCTGAAGCTGAGTTTTAATATCTGTAAAATGGGGATTGAAATACTTTCTTCATAGGGCTTATTGTCAGAATTCAATAAGCAACGCAGATCGTCCAGTTAGGTGTGTGACATAAGGAAGGACCCGGTCAGTGTTACATCCCTTCTTTTCCCAGCCCCTTACCTTTCCTTTTCTCTCCCTTGTTCTGCAAAACAAGAAAGGCAGTAATGCCTGACACCTGTTAAAGTCGGTTACATGTTGCACTTTTCTGTGTAACTGTCTTCTTTCTTTAAGTTCATCTCAGGTCGTTTTTAACTCTTCCTGTGTTATGAATTTCTCTTATGAATTTGAGCAAT